GTCTTAAATATACTTGTATAAAATCCTCAAAGCAAATGAAATAGCCATAATCCTTTTGAAGGGTACGTAAAATACACGGCGAGAGTTTTCACGTTCTCGATCATTTGCTCTCTGCATTTCGCACTACATACCTGGCGCTTACTACTGCTGCTACTGCGCTACTCCGACCGTCTCAACCTAGCAGCCTGAGCGGCCGTGCATTTTCGTAACCGTTCGCTCCCGTCCGTGCATCCAGTTGCGTTTGCTGCTTTCACGCGACCTCAAAGATCAGCACCTATGGTCGCGTTTCTCGATTTTACGCGTCCCTAAAAATCGACGGGATCCGTTAAGCAATCGTTTCTTGTAATGGATTCCGTTATAGGTCTCGTATTGGCGGAGTTGAGACTGTTCCACCTCAACTCCCAGGTTATACCGGCACGTCAATTCCCGGTGAAAGAAAGAATTGGCTGGCGCCTGCCTGGCATACGGATGCGTGGGCGAAGGGTGGACGGTCGAAGGTGACGTAGGTTTGTCCTCGAATTTTCGCTATAAAATTGTTCTTTAGAAAAAAAAAATTACGTTAAAACGTATTACAATGGTGTAAAAATATCAATAAGTTTTTTGCTTTTATAACAGTCAAATTTCTTTCATGTAAAAAAACAGAAAATTTAGATTGAATCAAGTAAATTTTACCGTGGAACGTAGTAAAAATTCGAAATAGTATTATTTACTGTGAATATCACGAAATAACGTCAAATAATAATCTCCCTGTCATAACGATGCATCCTAGCCTATTTACCTTTCACGTATAAAACGCCGCAGTGCTTGGGCCTAGGATCGCTTAACGAAACGCAACTGACAACTGAGTGCAACTGTCAGAATCATGAGAAATAATCGTGTCGATTACCTATACGTAACATCCCTGTTAATAAATCAAGAACGTAGCTGACATAAGTGCCAAGTGTGTTTGACTGCCTAAACTGCCTATATTTCCCAGAGTGCATCTGCTCCATCCTTCGACCTTGTTTCCTCGTTAGCGTAGGATGCTTACGGGCGTGCTGCTATTCCTGCTGAGAATTCAGCGATCTGTCAATAATAACCAAAAAGCAAAGAGAGAATGAAGTTAAGCGTGTATAGAGAAAGGTAAGGAAACAAGAGAATTAAGCGGATAGGATACGAAGTAATAATGCCATAGTAAAATATCTGTATCTTGAAGCAGTGTCATAAATTAATTAATTAGAGTTAATTAATTAGGAATAAATAACCAATCCACTACAGGATATAATTCCGTGAAACAGAAACCGTACGTCAATATAGAACGTACTGCATCCTGGGAAATGTTATTGACGCAGACTGTCAAATTTATACAATATATAACATATATCTATATACTATAGAAGATGCAGTTCGATGAAGCAGATGGAGCACAAAATTCACAGCAGAAGCTGCCCACTTGAAGCAGCAGTTTATACTGGCGTCGGTTTCACCGTGGTTCGAGATAGGATATATCGATAGGCGTCGCGGAGCTTTTAGCGCCCCTAGCGGAAGATGCAGGATCGTGCCAATTGCTGTGTGGAAAATGGGATAACAAGATGTTGGGATACAGAGATGGTTTATCGAAAGAGTTCCGTACAGTCGGTCACAAAAAGCCTGAGCTATTACGTTCGATGTATAACAAAATAAAAGATGGCCACCGAAGATTTACGGAACAGTTGATTTGGACAATGGCACAAGATATACGTACAAGCGAAGCAAATAAGTGAGGTTACGGTGAAATATTTACATATTCGACCGTACCTTGTATACGGGACATTAATGTTTATTCGCAGGAGTTCTATTTGCGACTTTCCCATGAATGAAACTGCGATCTATCCTTCGAAGTTTACTCGGCGTAAATAACGTCCGTAGGAGCATCGAATGGGTCAGACTTTCCTGTATATTTGAAACGGCAAACGAGAAATGCCGAATTTCACATGCTGGACTTGCAGCTTTTTATAAGCTGTCGCAACTTGCTTCGCGCAAAGTGTATTAGCTTTTACGGCTGCTATTCCCTTTTTGGCCACGTTAAACGTTTCTCGAAATACGGTACAGGTGGCGCCATCGGCGCTTCGTACGAGACCCGACAAAATTCAGCAGGAATTTTACTTCCCTGTCGTGTTTCAGTCTACAGCACGGATTTTGCTGGGATAATAAAGCACTCTGGCACTTTTCACGGGTGTATGGTGCCTCTCGCTTATTGGCATATGTGTGTATATATATATATATGTATATTCATACCTAGCTAGGTATTTTATCGTTCTGATAAAAACCACAGCAGCAGAAAATTCTAACCGAAAGTGCATCAGGTACCCGACGCAGCATTTCCAACAGTTCGAAACTGACATTACCAGACGATTGCATTCGCGGCGTTGAATTAACTTCGTTTTTCACATCTCTATATGTATAGTATAAAGTGCATGTATGTACACTAGTGCCAACATTACGACTCGTAAATCTAAAGGACTGCCTGGAAGAATGACTTTAACGCATATACGTACAGGCTTGATTAGACTGAAATTGATATGTTTCTACATCATTTTTTAAAAATAATTTTCAAAATATATTCCGACAGATAATCCATTCGTAATAAATTTATGGGTTGGTATAATATGTATTTTATATAATGACAAATAATTCAGCCATCGATCGAGCGTTTCGATCGTCGGTTTTTCATTTGATAGTCTAGATATTTCGTATTACCAAAAATATCACGGCCTTTACAGAACCCTAGAGCCTTCGCGTTATTAAGTTATTCATTTTTCATTATTAAATTCCCGATCGAGAGGCGTAACTGGTATATATGTAGTGTGTTGGTATCTATATTGAGTACGAAGAATTTCATGGTAATACAGAGGGAGGTAAATTTGGTTACATCATCCCCCTTCGGTTCCACGTACTTATTCGTCCATACGTGTAAAAACTTCGGCATAATAAAGGGACTCGAATATGCCGTCCTTGAATAAGACGCAACATGTCTCTCCTGTCTTGTGTTGGTGCGAAATTAAATTTCAAGTTATAAGTTTATCGAATACGGTCGAATTCATGCAAACGAAAAAAAAATTTAATTTAACACGTATACGACACGAGCGTTTTTCTTTGTCGTTTGCTCTGAATACATTTACAGGGATATTGATTTCGAAATATATAAAACGTATGGAAGGAAGTAAGAGTAGGAAAAAGAAAAAATGAGGAAAAAAAGAAGAAAACGACCAGTACAGTCAAAAGCAGCAACTACGTAGAAAAGTTAGCCATCTAGAAAATTACCTCTAAATTATCGCGCTGAACTATCAAGTAAAAGTCGTATCCTCGTGGACATTCGGGAATTTTCGTGAATAGTCGGAGAAACGATCGCGTCTACATACTGGAACTTTCCTGTGAGACCTTACAGGCGAAAACACGCGGTTGATCATCGTATAAATTTCGTAAACCGATAAATAACGTTCGGTTGGTCCTCGAGAAGAATCTATAGGGATCATTTACGAATCTTTTTATTGAAATTCAAAGATTCACGTAACGGAGAGTATATGGAGGTATGTTGATTACAATAATGTTAGGTTAGGTTAAGATAAGATAACAGCATTTGAACATTGACGTAAAGAGCAAATCCTATAGACTGATCATCAGTCGAATCTTCGGATCAAAAAGATGAGCGATAATTCGAATAATAATATATTTTAGAAAAATATTACAAAAAATTCACACGTAAGCCAGTATCTACGTATAACACTAATTGTGTGTATTTTCATATAACTGTAGTTAACCTAACCTATCGGACTGTGTTTGATTCTGAAAAATAATTTTATTAATAATTAACAACATTTCAATCGATGGTTACACATAGAATGTACGAAGAGTATATAAATATAGTATTGAAGAATTTTTAATAAATTATTATGAACCGTGACAAGAGTAAAAAAAGATAAAGGAAAAGGATAATCTAGTAACAGTTTAAAAAGTATATCAAGAACAAAGTAAGCCACGGAACTTTAGTCCAGTCCGATAACCGCAGTCGCGATAAAATACGGAGAAACTTCTCCAACCGAGTAATTCGCATGGATTCCGAGCGTCTGGCCCAGAGCGAAGGCGACGGGCGGCACGTTCGATAAAAAATTCTCATTGCGATAAGCATCGAGAAGGAGGGTTAAAAGATGTTATCGCGTCGAGGGTAGCTCGGGGGCTCGGCAAGGCAGAAGATGGGAATGCGATGTTAAGGAGAATGGCCCGACGGTACCGATAGCACTGGATGGTAGAAGGGTCTATAGTAGAAAGAGGATATCAAGGGGACGGAGTAACCATACGACACCCTCGGCGATCAGGCTTCGCTTACAGGAAAAAGTTATTACGACGTCAGTGTATCCATAAACATTCCATTCATGTTTCCAACCATTCAGATTCGCCTTCACAGCCTCCTCGTCCAGATATCTCGCTCCGAGATTCCGTCCTAACTTTCGTCTAACCTCCGGCTAAACCGATAAAAAATTTACATTGGGATTAACACGAGCCAGCCGGAGTTAAAAGGGATGCTCTATCGACCCTACCGTATGGTAGCACTCAACCCAGAGAGAAACGACAGACAGAAAGGAAGACGAATTCAGGAACGCAATCCCACCAAAGAGACAAGCCCACCGCTGCTGTGGTATCTGGCAAAGACCTTATTTGTCTATCCCGGGTGGATAGAGAGAGGGGGGGAGAGGGAGGCTGGAGACTCTTTCGTTCTACGTCAATTTGTAATTCTCCCTCCTCTTCGAGGCTCAAGATTCCGCACCCTCCGGACCGTTCTCTCAAGTTCGTCCTTATCCTCCACTCTGCTCCTAACCCTGAGCGCATCGCGGTTTTGTATCCCTGATACGACGTTCAGGTTCTCAATATAGGATACCCCAGCAGCAGCTCATAATAATAACACAAAGTAGAGGGTATAGGCGGGTATGAAGATAGGGGTGGTAAGCAGGTAGATCCGGAAGGAAGAGATAATGGTGTCTTACCGAGAAGGCCTTGAGAAAGACGAGACACTGGATGATGCCCTCCATGGTGTCTCCGGTGAGGCAAAAGGTCCCGGTCAGGTGCCGACCTTTTCGGCCATTAACGGAACAGAGGCTGGCCTGGACGAAGGCGTTCTGGGATCGCGAAGCTGCTGTCAGGGCTGGATGGTGCGGAGCGGCGCTCATTAGACGCTCCAGCGAGTCCATCTCTCTGGCTTCGTTGATCCTTTTTCGATATTTAACCTCGTCGGACAAGGGTCACAATGTGCGCGCATTTGAAATACCTCCAGGTGATTTGCTCTCGGCGAGCCGCATTACTACGGTAAAGAGAGACACTGGCCAGGAAGGTGACGTCAGAGGGGATGTTGAACAATTCTCTTTTTCACTTTCCTATTTACTTCTTGCGATTAACTTTTCTTTCAATTTTTCCTTATCTTCCCCCTATCTATCTGATTTACGTAAACCAGGACTCTCTTGCTCTGACGGTTAGTCAGGTACCTGTTCGTCCTCGGTACACGACCGCATCACCCGGACACCTGCGTCAAGTGGTTTGATTAGCACTCCGTAGAGTTGGCAACACCGTCAGAACGACGCACTTCGAATTCAACACGAACCGCTAATGTTACTTGAACATCAACATCAGACAATGTAAATGAGCCTGTCTTGAAAGATGCGAATCTTACTGACAACTGTACTTAAGGCCGGTTAAATGGATAATTTGATTTTTCACTTCTGACTGAAACTCGAATTATCCTTTTGTAGAAGCATCGAATCTTGGACTCGACAGGATTTCATGAGCTAAGAAATTACATCGTAGACGAGTAGACGTTGATTTCGTATCAGGATGCCGCTACTATTCGTAGTCTTCCAAGTGGCGCCTTGAGCAATCTATGTGGAACCGTTCTGAGCTACATTGAGTTATGCACACACGGCCGTTGTAGAATCAGCTGAAATTGAAGCACTGTATCACGATATTTGGCACTGTTTGTTTTGACCGGCGAACACGCACATATTGGCAATGACGTATCCGGTATATCCTAGTGCTCTGGTCCACAGTGAAATATATACAGCAAGATCACCATTTCGATTTGGCTAATACGTCTTGGGGCATATCCACTTTGGTTAATGGAAACGCATCCTCCAGCCTGTTAAATATTCTAATACACTTTGGAACAAGTAAGCTCAGTCGATACGTCGGAACATAGAAACTCGTAAGGTCTGCCAGTAAATATATCCCAGATATGCTACACAGCTACAACACCTTTATTGTCTTATTAATAAAGTACGTTTTAACGGAGCCAAAAGTGCACTGGCACTTGATCCAAGAACTTTCGTAACCTCGCAATAAATGACACCGTTCAAGATGCACTGCCGACAAGATCAGTCAAACTCATCGTTGATCAGCTCATCGATAAGATCCTTTCACGAAAAACACAATGAGAAGTTAGCACTAACAGCGGTACGGATGACGATCACAGTTTATAAACGGAGTCAAAGCACAAGAAGGATTCACAAGGCTAATTTGTCTGATGAAAGTTGAGCATAGACAATGTAGAAGGTCCAGCAGGTGACTTGGGGTTGACGTTACTGAAGTCCTGTAAAATAGATAGATCCTCCACCGTCTGTCGAAGAACGCGACTATAGAAGGAAGAAGAGAAATTCGAGGTGCCAAGCGGAAACACATCGATCACTGATACATCCGTTCGAGAGCTCCAGGTCGAGACGGCGTAGGAGGTTAAAGTTCAGCCAGGCGTGAATAACGGATTAAGAAGTAGCAGGTGCTGCCTATGACAGTCTATTGAGAACAGAAGGCGGTGGAGTTCTGGACCTTGCGAGAGATCGAGTAGACCCTGGGAGACGGTGGTGCTGAGGATCCAACGTTTTGTATATCCGTCGGCGATTGAGGCGCCGAGTAACGTCTGATCAGGTCGCACATCTCGTAACAGAGAAAGCATATGCCAAGTATCAGGAACGTATCCATGACGTGCTGAAGTCAACGTCTATTTAACGCGCGCTACCGGTTTGCCAGACGACAAAGATGACAAGAAGCACTGAGTTCATAGACGCAGCTTAGAAACACTTGGGATAACTGTTTGCTCTGGGGAGCAAATGGATCCACGTTAATTTATCATCGCCGATAACTGTCTTCCGGGATGTTGCTATCCTGGGCACAATAAGATTCCTCAAAGTCTCGTAGCCGCAAGAGTGCGGCGTCCACCCACTGGCACGACCGTATACCAGGTCTTCAGGTGCGACGCGTGACGCCCGAGGATAACTTGAGCGACACGTTGCCAGTGTAAGATCCAGATCGGCGTCGAGTCATCTCCAAAATGTGCAGAGCGTCGTAGACGACTCGTGACCCAAAAGGACTACCAGGATGGGTTGGGATTCTTTAGGCGTGACGATGGTGGACCAGTCGGGACGCTGATGCCTAGTGGATATGGAGGAGGGAAGTTGATGAGAACGGAGGTCATGTAGATCGACCCAAGGGAACACCTCAGTGGGTACTCCGGACGATGACGTGCCCCCAGGAAGTAGCCAGAAACCACCAAAGCGCAACACTCCGTTTTGTCGGATGCTGAAGATGACGTAGGTCTAGGTCACTAATGAACACGGCTGCTTGGCACTGGTCCGTTGATCTCTTGATCTGGTGCACGTTGAGCGTATTGCGAGGTGCAGCGCGATGGGGAAGTCGCGGAACATCAGCGGCTCGCAACGGGCCAACGTATGACTACCGGATGGTCCCGCCGTGAAGCTGCGCTACTCGGGCTGGAAGGAACGAGGGATGCTGGGCGACGGCGCGGCCCGCGGCGCCTCCCCGACCTCATCCTCACCCTACACCATGTTCCATCCTCCTTCCCTTCGCCGTTCCCTGGCTCAACCGTCACGTCGGCTCACCCTGCTACCCTGCTGTCCTGGCACCCTGACACCCTGGCACCACCTCAGCCCATCTACACTCTACTTTCCCTCGGCGTCTCCCTCTTTCTTCGTACTTTTATCCTGGCGTCGCTCTACGCTTTTTCTCTCGCTCTTTCTCGTTCTCTCTCATATCTTTCTTCTTTCTTTCGTTCTCCATGGCTCTACACTTTCCAATCCTCGCCAAACACCCACAGCGACTATCCATTGGAAGCAGAGATAGATAGATAGATACTTTACGGTGCTGGCGTTAAACAAAACGCAGCAGCATGCTTCCGCGTGAAGTACCTCCATCCGCAACGTTATCCGACTCCTAATTGATACACGTCGGGAGTCAAAGGTCACTAAGGAATTGATAGTTTTTTTTTTTTTTTTTTTTTTTTTAGGAAAATTAACAATTTATAAATAACGAAGGATCTACTGATTTCTTCATTTTATCCGTAGTAAGTCACGTGGGTCCATGCTAAGATGCTAAAAATGACCTTAGTATCAGCTGCATCCAGCATCAGAATGCTCACGTGAACACGCGTGACAAATCTGAGAAGACTTCTTGACTCTAAATTCACGAAATTACATAGAAGGACTCTACTTAGGCCTGTCATGATGGTTCTCAAACGTTACCAAGACCCTAAGACCGACGTACCGATAATTAATTACTGGACAGTCACGTTGGGCCAAACTGTCAGACACGCGGGACGAACTTTGCCTGATCTTCATTAGTAACGAGTGAACCTCAAAGTTTCCTAAAGTTAATAAATTAATGCGTCGGATGTTGATGTTATGTCTTGCGCGGTTAAATGCATGAATAATCACTGCGATATATTCTCATTGTAGCAAAGATCCTTACGGTATAAAACGAGGAATGAAAAGACGAGCTCGAGTATTGTCATGGCCATGGAACCTCGTAGGTATACCTGGGAGGGAACGCAATAATTCCTAAAGGAGCCGCAAAATGAAATGGTTTAATGTGTCAGACCGCGTGAAAAACGATGCTGCAGTTATTTTCTCAGAGTATGAGAAGCTTACGGGAACACTGACCATGGCTCCTTGTGTCTACGTAGACTCGGTCCTAGCCATGAAAATTCAACGCGTTCACATAACAGCGATCTAATAAAAATATTCCTTACCTTCGAAAATCACTGAAATGAATTTTTCAAGAGTTTCGTTTCAAATAATATAAAACGGTAATTTCGCGTTCCGAGTAAAAGCTCCCTTTAAACAGACTTTGGAAACGGCTGAAAAATATTTATGAAAGGAACAGAGCACTCGATCTGAGAATACCTTGGTATTGTCAAGGTGTTATGATCTCGTCGATTCTACGAATCGGCTGGACAGGAAAGCTCTATCGAGGGATAACGTAGCAAAAATTTTTCTCTTTACAGTAAAATTGAAATAAGGGAATCTTTTCGTAGTACAACTTACCTGTACCAGTGTACCACGGTATATCTGAAATTGCATCAGTTCGTCTATGAATATCCTATGTAGGCCTTCCGAGATAATCCGATAATTAGACATGCCTGTTCGCAGGAGATAATATGGTCTTTCCTCTGCCAATTCTAGATCACATTCCCCGACGATGATGATTTCAGAATTTCTATGTAAATTCGTTAAATCATCCGACAGATATCAGATCAGAAGAGATGGCTTAAGATGCAGTTCGATCACTCCCTTGATCCTGTTAATGTGCTTGTATTTCAATTCGCACCTAATAATTCACATTTCCCCAACACTTTTTCGATAATTAAATTATTTTAGGGGATAACTCGATTAAAATTATCTCCACATGCCTACGAAATGTTTATTACATGCCCATTACGTAGTGCTCTGATATAATACGATTATGTGGTCCACAAGTACCGCAGTTATCACTGCGATACCATTCGTTGGATATAGTCGATTGGTAGCGATTTCGAGAATCGAAGGAGTTTCTGTGACGGCGATAACTATTTGAAGAGTATTTAATAGCCTATAACAATCAATCCATATTTTCGTCATAGGACTGGTTTACTACTAGCAATAGCGTCTATAAAGGCTATTGACATCAAAGTGATAGGAAAAGTCTAATGGATGTACCTGCTGCTCTTTGAGGACTTTTTAATTAAAAGGGTACAGGGACATTTTATTAGAGTCCCTTTATAAATTTCATCAATTTGCTACTGTAGCGTGATATCTCTTAACGTGACCCGACGCATGGCGTCGCGATGCTTAGCGTCGTGTCTACTGGCGCATATGGTTAATTACAAGACCAAAAACATAGATCACTTAGGATCGATATGTAATGACTCACGGATAGATACGGTGTACATATAGATTTTATATACTTATATACTTTTTGTACAGATTATTAGCAATACCGTCATTGACTTTACTGACAGTAATGAAATTTAAGAAGTTAGCGTTATAATAATCACTTTAAATAGGGATTTACTTGATTTCGCAACACCCACGGGCAGTGCAGCTACTCGATCGTTAACTTTTCATCAAATCCGGCCCACTAGAAAGTCTCGCGCTTTACGAATTGGAGACGGAGGGACGTTACGAAATTACGAAAATTTTGCCCCGCAGCTATTGCGTTTTGTGAAAACTTCCGTAAAGGTGGGCGTCGTATATTTTATTAATGTAACGGACACAGAAAAATTTCGGGAATTTCGAAGAAATATTACAAAGGAAGGAAACTCGCGCGTAAATTTTTTTTTTAAGTAATTTTTGCTTTTACGTCGGAATCAAAATTTGTACAATTATTAATTCTTGGAAATACTTTGATTTTCTTCGGTTCTCCGTGCTCCGCCTTATTTGACTTCCGGTGAAATATGGAGATCCAGAGAAATAAAAGTGGGTTGACGATACAGAGGGTACAGTCATTATGCTGCGAGGCGGATTGTTGAATGGCGGATAAACAATGGTGCCTGAAGGGGTTTCTCCTGTATGAAAAGGCTGATCACTCAGAGTTTCCCTACCGAGGAAGTGTGTCAACCCTGACTTGATCGTAGTTGAACAGGATGCACTCTACCATGTACCCTGAATTCTATAGAATCCAGATAGACATATAGATATATGTATGCATTGTATATCTGTAATCTATATCCGTAGATAAATGGATAGATTTATGGGGGTTAGAAACCACTAGGTATATCTAAGACTAACGAGACAGCTAACTTTCCGACAAAATTTACGAGGTCCTTGTTTTCATAGAAAATTTAAAATTTATTACAATAATTCCTGGTTATTACAAGGAATACGAAAAGTACGTAAAATTTCACCTCGGCTTCCCGATGCCTCGGTAACTAAAACTTGCCACGCTAACGTACAGTTTGAAAAGGAAACTCGAACCACGATATCTTTATTATTTATCTTTCCTGACCGTACCAGGTTAGCCAAACTTTTCACTTTCTCCTGCTATCATATACTTCACGAATCCACCATGAAAACACGACGCTACTTGGTATCTACGAACGATTCGAAAAATACGATCCTTCTGGTGAGATCCCACAAAACCATTTTGGATTTCTCCTGATTGCAAACGCGAAACACGGATATGATTTATAGCTGCCAACTTGTTTTCAGGACTATTGTAAGAGAAACGAATAAGAAAAAAAAAAGGCACAACAATATTTTTTTTCACATAGCAAAGACAAAAACTAAACTTCAAACGATTCTACAAAATGTTCGATTACGTAATTACGAAGTAGCGAATGACTGGATATTATTTCCATGTTCTCCAGCTTAAACGACTATCCTGCGATCGAGTCAGTTTTCCAAAAATTTGACTATTTTTTGAAAATAGTCACTCGCCCGTCATCAAATCTATCCTCGTACTCAATTTTACTCGACCGCGTCTACTTAGTAAGGCTTACGTGGTTTGAGCATGCTCGAATCGAAAAACTCAATAGAATGAAACTGAACGGAGTTCAATGTTGAGTTTGCGCAGGGACCATTTCAAAAATTCTTATACGATCAAGTATAGTCAGTGAGGATGTTCATATAAAATTGAGTTACTGAATATACTGAAAATATAAATTCAATGGCACGCTGGTTTTAAACTTTCAAAATACAGCGTATGCTTAACATTATTTGTTGCAATTTTTATTAATCTTGAATATTGATCGTTTCCACGTGAACGACTTATTTTGTCTGCAAGACGTGAGAAATCTTATTGTTAGTAACATTACGTATACTATAATACTCAAAACTTATTAAATTGGACTTCCCCTTACTACTTTCCAGTGCGTCGATAGATTTTCTCATTTTTCTTTTTTTTTTTTTGTACATTTTCTTTCTTTCTCTCATTTCCTTTTTCTTAACGATATCGAACTGGGTCGAGTGCACCAGACGAGTAATCGAGTGCAATTAAAAAAAAAAATATTTCTGACAAAAAGCGTATTTATTTTCTCAAAATTTTCAAATAAATCGTTCCGAAAATTATCATGATTTTTGGCGCGAATAGTGTCACGATATGATTTAACAAGGACCGTGACAATGTTAATATCTGTATTAGTAATGCTATTACAGTTAGTAGCTAGTAGTTTGAGTCTTATTGGAATTCTAAGCTGGTTTGCGGTTAACTAATTCGTTGAAAAGTCAAACGGGGTCACAGTTAAGCAACCGGGATTGGTGGCGTCATCAGGAGGAAGAGGAAGTGGAGTATAGAGAGGTAGTGGCATGAAGCAAGGCTGTGGCGAGAATGAAGAGGAGTAGAAGGAGATACGAAGGAGGACGAAAAGGAGAAGTAATATTTAGTGCTTGGTTAGGTATTGATATATTTTGACATTTACGAGTTGGAGTAACTTGTCGCGATATATGAGAGGAC